AATTGTGTCGATTGATAATGACCTGGGGCATTTGCAGACCGAGTCAGAAACGAACACAGCGGGCTTGACTCAGAAACCGGAAGTCCTGCCAGGTGTTGAGAGCGATGAGGAAGAGGTTGAAGAGAGTGTGGGCTCCGGATCAGATGAGGAATTTTCTGAAGATGGAGAAAGCGGGCCACCAGGGCCCCACGTCAAAGAAGCGCGCGCAGTGTCGATTGATCGCCCGCGCGATCTGCGTATGGATCCCGGGGCAGCTGAGCCGGTTGAAGACCCGCAGACTGAACAGCCGGCTCATGACACCGAAAACTTGCCATGTGCGGACAGCGGAGATGATGAGGATGAGGATGAAGACCTAGAATCACAGTCGGACCATGGCGATTATGCTCATGTTACGCACGAACTTCCATCGCCGCCACACAGCATCGCATCACTCTCTATATTCCCCTCTTCGGGAGCGCCGATAGCGTTGCCGCAGGCTTTGCCTCTTTCTCTCCCACTACAACCCACCCGGTCCGCCCGTCCGTCGTTGCCGTATATCTTGACAACGAGGCCGACTACTGAGGCACAGTCGCTTTCATCCGACCCAGACGAGCTGTTCAGCGACTGCGATCAAGGTGAAGCCACCACAGACCGGTCGCGTTCGCTGTCTCCACGGCCTGGAAGGGCGGCTTCACGTGCCCGGTCCCTTTCTCGCTCCTCCGCGGGTCAGCGGTCACCGTCTACGCCGCGGTCTCCTTTGCAGAAGCTCGAACATGTGCTCAAGTCGCCATTTGTTCGAGCAGGGATTTTGGCTGACTCGAGTGGAGACGACGACGACGATGATGACGAAGGGCGACACTATAGCGACGCAGAACAAGGCGAAGATTCCGATGAATCTGTGCCCATTCAGCGCACACCTGTACGGTCTTCGTCCCCAATCTTGCCACGCGCGCCATCACCGTTACCCTCATTGACCCTTCCATTACCCTACGCTCCAACTCATTCACGAAGACCCTCGACCCATCTTTCGGTGTCTACGACCGGCCTCTTTGCTCCAATTGATGAGGCCCTTCTTCCGTTATCCCCGCCGCCGACCGCGCCGCTCAGTAAACTTCAGCGGCTCGAGTACGCGCTAATGAGCCCTATCAACACGCTCTTGCACCGAGAGAACCGCGGCCACAGCAGACGCGCATCCGATGAAGGCGTAGCGGAGGCGATCGGTCGTCACGGGAAACCAGCTATTCCACGCAGCCGGTCGAGAGTTGGAGAACTGATCCATTATTTCTCGACACTGAGTGCGGGGCAAGATGTCGAGGAAAACGAAGTTGAGCAGGAAGATGAAACCAGGGAACCAAGCGCCAGTGCCCATCTCCTCGCTCAAATACGTGGAGTCGAAGACGACGGCGAGGATGAAATTGAACTGCATGAAGGCGCTGGAGATGCTGCCACGGACGATGTTTACGAAGAGATTTCTGGCCAACACGTGCTTGCAGCAGACCATGGAAGTGTAACCGTAAAACGCCCCGAGCTCGTTCAATCACCGCTTGACGTTTCCGCGGTCGAGTTGCCGCTTCCCGCGGAAGCAGTCGCTTTTGAGCCTGGAGGGTCGGAGTCGGATGTTCAGGCCGAGGTGCCGGATGAGGCGCCGGCCGAGTCGAACATAACGAAGGTGGACCCAGTAGTCGCAAGGGACGCAACCACGGTGGATGTCTCTCCAGTTGCAGTACAATCAAGTTCAGGCAAAGAAAGTGAAGCAGGCGCCGCTGAGATCGCCGCATCAGCGGCCACGCATGTGGAAACCTCCAACGCGCAGCAAAAAGAAACAGCCCCTGCTACGGCATTACCAGCGGAGCCAGTTGCCACCGTTGTTCTGGCATCGCCCGCGGAGCCACTTCCAGCTGTTGCCCCGGCACTGCCCGCCGAGCCAGCTGCTGCCACTGCTCCGGCATTATCTGCAGAACCACTTGCCGCTGCTGCTAATGCCTTAGCAGAGTCACTTGCTGCTGATGCCCCGGCATTGTCAAACGAGCCTGCTGCTGCTCCTACCGCTCCAGCAGAGCCACTTGCTGCTGATGCCCTGGGATTGTCGGACGAGCCTGCCGCTGCTGTTACTGCCCCAACAGAGCCACTCGCTGCCGATGCCCGGGCTTTGTCAGACGAACCGCCTCCTGCCACTGTCCCGGCGACGGAGCTAAGTGCCGCCGCGGCGCCAGCAGCCGTGGCATTGTCAGACGGGCCCGATGCTGCCGCTGACCCAGAATTGTCAGCGGAACCACCAGCTGCCGTCACTGACTCGGAAATAGCAGCGAAATCACTTGCCGCCGCTGTCCCGGCGTTGTCCGTGGAGCCGGAGGCCACTGCGCGGGCTTTGTCAGAATTGGGAAGTTCATCCGTAATCCCAGCGTTGCCGGCGGAACCAGTAGCCGCTGATGCCCCTCCATCGATGGAGAAGCCAGCCACAGCCGCTACCCCGGCCGTGACAGCGGAGCCAGTCGTAGTACCGGTTGCGACGCCTGCAGCAACCGTTGCAGAAGTTGTGACGCCAAAACCGACCGCGCTTGCGGCGGCGCCAGCCGCCAAGCATAGTGCCAAAAAAGTCTCGGCAACGCTCGACTGCACTCGCCCAATCCAGTCCCCTGCGACAGCAGCAACCGCATCCAGCGCGTGCTCCTGCCTCCCGCATTTGCGTCTTCGCAATGCTGAATTACGCTCAGAGCTCCACCACGCGCGACTCGCTCTTACGGCGGCGCTGGCCACAGCTGCGGAGAGGGCGCCGCCGGCATGGCGGGCGCAGGTGGAGTGTGCGGCGGCGGAGGCTGATGCGGCCCGAGCGGGCCGCGCTATGTGGGATGAGGCGGTGGAAGGCGAGTGGGAGTGTTTGCGGGAGCGGCGGAAAGGGGAGCGTGTATTATACTAGTGCGAACATCTGAGGGATTGTAAGCGTTTTTTCAGCTTGCGGGTGACGGTGAATAATCTATTTGCGTCTCGTTTTATAATTCATACGGAAAGAAAGAGAAGATTAACGATTCTCCTCGTTGTGCACTGGGTCAAAGCGCTGTCGGTTATTTTACGACGGGCCTGACGCAGTAAGCAGACTTTCGCCGGAACCAGCGGGACGCGATGAGTCATGGGCAACGGGTCAGGGCCAGCAGCCGCTCATTTATGCAAGACAATTGATTACAGACCAAAGAATTATTAGGTAATGATAAGAGGGCAATAGCGTGAGATGGTAAGGAGAATGGGAATGCAGGTGAAGAACTTGTGGGCATCCGGTCCACAGAGCAACACCTCTACAATCCCGACGCGTTGAGGTTCTCTCGGAGAATGATTGCGTTTACTGTTGCAAACACAGTCCGGATTTGGTTCGTGTCGGTCGCCCATGTGTAATGCACATAAATTTTCTTTTCCTGCGATCGATTCAGGCCAATGAACTGCCGCGCGAAGAATTCTGACGCCTCCTCAAATGAATTCGAGCCTGGCAAAGCCAGCCGCGGTCAGTCAGGAAATAGGTAAAGCCCTACCGCGTATCTGGTTCGCATGTCAAAACTGTTTCTAAAACTTGGCTTCCTTTACCGCTTACCTCCATATTCCGGAAAATAGTTTTTGATCGGGATGGTTTTGAGTTTCTCGTGGAACAAGTCCACTTTGTTAAGGAAGAGAATGATGGATGTTTTCCGGAATAGCGGATGGTTGCATATGGAATCAAATAAGTTTAGCGATTCGAGCACTTTATAGGCGCAAGCGTAATCGAGTTAGATCGACAGGAGCCGTAACATATTTGCGCACAATACTGTTGCCCGCTTGCCAAGCACTTACTTCTATTTGTTTGGTTATCTTCAAAACATTTTTGATCATAAGCACTGATTGCTGCCAAGAAGATAATGCTATTGACATCATCAAAGTACGGCGCCCACTTTTTTCGTTCGCTTCGTTGCCCGCCAACATCAAAGATTCGAAAGGTAACGCCGTTGATGGAGAACTTATTTTCTGTTATTGTGGTCGTCATAACACGGGATCGCAAGATATCCTGATCATTGGGCGTATACGTTGGCCCGCACACTCGCGCCGCTTCGTCTAAATAGCTGGCACACGTGCTTTAGCAGGGCGACCTTCTTCCTTCATGGACGGTGTGGCACAACGACTTACTATTTGCATGAATCTATGAGCTGAAACTCGTTTGACCGCTGATAGCATTTTTGTATGCCTGCATCCTTCCACACGATCTGCAGCGCCATCAGGACCGTAGCCGGCACTTGCTCTCCTTCTCCATATAATATTGGCGCAGATTGTATTATCTGTGCCTGGATAGCCGTCTTCTGATCCGCATATGTGATGCCGAGCCGCCCGGACGCTTCGATTAACGCTTTCCCACATGACATGACGTTTGCTAGAATTGCGGGCCGGTATGCCATTCGCTCCGCGGGTGAAAACGGCACGCCATGTATGAGCTTGAATTGCTTGAGCACTGTGGACTTTCCAGACTCGCCCGACCCGAGAAGGAGAAGTTTGATACTACGTTCGGCTTCGCGGGCGTCGGCCCGAATTTGTCGATCAATTTCAGCTGAGCGTGCGTTGGACTCCGATTCTTCAGGCGAGCTCGTGCAAGTGCCCATGGCAAGGAGCTTCGGCGGTCGGGCGGCGGGCGGGAACGTGCCGTGGACGGAAGAGCGAGGTTGTCGAAATGCGGAAAGAGGGGGGAGTGGGCTCTCTCCGGGGATGCAGGCGCGACAGTCAGAACGTATATTAGAACAATGGAAGCTCAGGTCTCAAGCACGCCGCAAACATAATAGTGGGGCATGTTTTTTTCGGCAGCTCTCTCGGCTTACCCAATCCGTGGGTTCGCGGCCGACCTCTTGGTACACCACCATTGCGGCAAACCCTCCTAATCGCCCCCCAATTAAAGACTCGGCCCAGAGGGCTTTCCATGCACACGACAAGTCACACACAACCACATTTGTGGCGGCCAGCCTGAATGGACCTCAAATCAGTGAAAACAAGTCCCATTGCTGCCTGTCCATCGAGACACTATGGCCGAGTGGTTAAGGCGGCAGCCTCGAAAGCTGCTGGGCTCTGCCCGCGCAGGTTCAAATCCTGCTGGTGTCGCAGCTCTTTTACCGGACTGGGCTACTGCCTCTTTGTTTTGCATCGCTGGAAGAGGGAACTTTCACCTTTTGTGGCCAAGGGGCATTTTCGATTTCAAACCAGGTACCCGTGGTACTTGTGTGCGTTCGGATTTCGGAGACCGGAACGAATAGCGTGGCGCAGGCCTCGCCTTCATTTGTCAAATCAGTCAAATCTCTGCGAATTTCCAATGCGGAAAGTACTAATAGCCCTCACGTTCCTTCCCGTCTGTCTTCATACCCTTTTCTCGCCCGAACCGTCTCTTCTTCATACTCTTATAGCCCCGCCTGAAACATGCCCACCACCGTGCTAGTTGTCGGCGGCTCTTACGCTGGAGTCGCGGCCGCTCAGGCGATCGAGTCCCAACTCTCCAAAGCAAAAGCCGACTTTGTCATCACTGTCGTGACCGAAGGAGATCACTTCTATCACTGCATTGGAGGAATGCGAGGCGCTGTGGAAAAGGGCTACGGCGGGAAGCTCTTCATTCCTTACGACAAACTTTTCAAAACTCCACACGGCAAGGTCGTTCATGGCCGCGTGGCCACTCTTCATGCGAAAGAGGCCGTTCTCGAAGACTCAACAACTATCGCGTTTGACTACTGTGTTATTGCCACGGGCAGCACGAACGCCGGTGGGAAAGGGCCGTCCAAATCGCGCGCTCAGGGTACCACCGACATCGCTCGCCGCGCAGACGCGATGGCGGCCGCAAACTCGATTCTCATCATTGGCGGCGGCCCTTCAGCCGTGGAACTGGCGGGCGAAATCATGACGGACCTGAAGGGCAAGACGGTTACCCTCGTGCACTCTGGCCCTGACCTGTGCCCGGGCGTCTCAGCAAAGTTTTCGGCCAAAGTGAGGGCCGAGCTAGGAAAGCTCGGCGTGCAGATTATCTCGAATGACCGAGTTGAACGCGCTGCTTTTGGCGACGACGCAATTCACGAGGAAACACGCACGATCGTTACGTCGAAGGGAGTCTCTGTAACGAGCGATTTGCAGTACTTCCTTGCCGGAAACAGTAAAGTCAACTCCGAGTGCGCTGAATCTCTGGGTCCTGACGTCCTCGACTCTGCCAAGCAGGTGAAAACGCTCCCGACTCTTCAGCTTGTGGGTCATCCGCACGTTTTTGCCGTTGGTGATGTTACCGACCGGCCTGGCGGCAAACTCGCATATCTGGCGTTCGCGCACGGCGCTATTGCCGGCAGCAACATTCGCAAACTGGTCGCCGGCGACAAAGGAGCGTTGCAGGAGTTCAAACCGCCGGGATCGCCCGTAATGATCGTGACCATTGGCCGCAACGGTGGCGCCGCTCAACTTCCGTTCGGTGTGTTTGGCTCGTGGGTCTCCTCGACAATCAAAAGCAAGCACCTGTTTCTGCCCAAGCAGTACAGCACGTTGAACGCAACAATGCCCTAGACGCTTGTCCGGGCGACGCGACGGCATCTCGCCACTTCCACGCTCAACGTAACACTTTTATAGACCTTTCCGCGGCGTGCCGGCACGTCACTTATAGAAATATTTTTCACATTATTTGGCACTTACGTTTTATTAGTGAAATCACATCATTCTACTATACGTCCCTGCCAAGCGCAGACCATTGTCTACTCATGGCTGGACGCTCCGAAAGTGACTCTCGCGCTTTCATTTGGTCTAAGGGTACGCCTGCGCTACCTGTCCGATACGGCCAACTATGCCTTTCAGCCTGTCTATTTCTTTCTGTAGACGAGTGCAGTTCGAGCAGAGGAGATTCCCGCTGAGAACCACCGCTGTCCTGCCGGAAGCTGGAATAGTTTGGTGTGGAATCGGCACAGCAGCGATTAAGACATCCGGGAGGGGTCCACAAATGATTTTTCTCATCAGGAGAGGCTCATTGCCCAACTTTTGGACGCGTTTCGGAGCGACGCCGCCAGGAAAAGCAGCCGGTCCGACAAAGGCTTTCCAGATCTCGACCCGAACGGTGCCGTGTAGTCGATCTTGACTCCGAAACTCGAAAGGAATCGAATCCCAAGAGCCAGCGGCCGGTGAACCATGCTCAATTATTCTTCCATACGCGAGAAGATTATCCACATACGCCAAAACGGCAATAGCCCCTCCTACACCCGGGAGCAAGCATGGGTGCCTCACGACGAGGGTCACAGGAATTTGCGTCGCACTTGGCGGAATGAATGTCTCGAAAGCTTCTTCGTACGTGGATGGATGTAGCCTACGGTATTCTGGTATGGGTGCAGCGGTCTGGTCGGCAAGATAGCACGTGAAATGCATCCAAACGTGCGGCGCTAGCACGCTTTTTGACGGGTGGGCAAACCCTGCATGTATCTCCTGCAGAGGCTCCGGAAACGGCGACTGTACTCCTGTTTGTAGCAGAGAGTCGGCGACATTCCCTTGATTGCCCGGCGAATACGCTGCGAGCCTCTCGTCAGGAAGCCGACCGATGTCAGAGCATGTGACAACTCTTTGGGGCGGTGAAGAGTTCGCTCGCAAGTAGATATGCCTGATAAGGCTGCGGGCAAGCACGGTTTCCGTTAATCCTGTTTTGAAATGTGGGATATCAATCGGCTATACATCCTTACTGCGTTGCAAGATCCTGCCTTCGCCTTCGCGGGAAGGCGCCGCATGTGCAGTTTAAGATCGAGCACCTCCAACCGTTTGCCTGCTCATTCCCAACGTGGCTGGACATCATGTGATGGAAAAGATGGTCCGGATGCTCGAAGGATCTTAGGCAGGCTGATCCGTCACTGGTGCACCAAAAGCAGACCAAAGGGCGGCTGGCTTGGCCGCGTGTGGCGCGCGAGCTGTATTCATTACCCGCGACCGGCCCTGAAGACCCTGTCGGGTAGGACACATCGGCCGCTTGGGCATGCGTGGCGACAAGAGCCGCAGATTGGCTCGGTGGCCAATTATCGTTGTCAGATCGGATATCTGCTTTATAATCATCGTATACGCATGTCAGACCTAGCACGGCACAGCGCAGGCAAGGTTCGAGGCCGTCGCACAGCGCGTAGGCCGACCTGCAGTAATAGCACGTAGTGCCGCCACTACTAGCAGCGGGGAAAAGAAAATCTTGAGGGAGCACCAGCGATTCTGCTTGAGAAACGAAAGGAAGCGCTGGAAGCGGGCGAGGAATGGTGGACGTGGGAACAAGTCCGTCATGCCAGATCGGCGGCCGAGAAACACAAGGCAGGGCCAAATGCGGGTGGCCGCTGGTGGGTGCGCGAAGAAGCCCGTCGTGCAAACATGGTGGCCGAGAGGTAGACATGAGCGAGGGTGAGGGCAAGGAGAGCGCAGGGGAGCCGGGACACTAAGCGTGGGAAAGCGAAAGCGAAAGAGACGCAGCGAGGTTGCCGTTGGCCCGTTTTCCGACAGCGGGTGGGATATCAGTTGATATGCCCATATGCGGTAAGTAGGCATTGACACAGCCACCGTTGCTTACGGGCCCGCACGCGCAAGTCGCAAAGTCGCACGCCCGCCCGTCACTTTTCTGTCAGAGACAACGTCCTGAACTGACGGCGCCAGGCAGGATCATTGCCACCGCATTTCTTAACCCTTAGGGCGCTGCTAGCCGCCAGACTCTGATGATCGCTGACGATTACGCCCAATCCATTGCGCCAGCGACAACAGCGGCGCCGGCGCAGGCGCAGCGCTCTGATCTCTCCGCCGCCCACATTCCTGCCAGTGGAAGCGCCGGAAAGCGCAGTTCAGTGGGGCGATCCTCGGCGGCCGCTCTCACCGCATTGCGCGCTGAGAATGATGATCTCAGACGGCGATTAGAGGAGACAGAGGGAAAGCTGGAGCTCGCGGCTACCGTTGGCCAGTCGCTGCTCAAAGAACACGATAGCCTTCGCGCCCGCCTGAACGAGACCGACTTATCGTCTGATGACTCGGGCTCTCGCCAGCGGGGCTCGTTTGATCACATTCGGGGCATTGAAGACGGCCTGAACGCCATGGGCAGCTCGCTAAAAGGATTTGTCGGATCCTTGTCCCGGCCAGCCAGCCCTGAAGGTGCGCGGGAGCTCAAAACCCGAACGCGGGTTTTGCAGTACGAGACACCAAAACTGTCTCGAAGACTGTCGAAGAAAGGATTCTTGAAGCCGCAAAGTCCCCGAAAATTAGCGGCGCGTTCAAACAAGTTTGTGGACATGGAGCTTGCATCCGATATCGACAACCACTTAATCCATCAAGTTCGCATTCTGCGGCAAGACCTTGGTGCCGCCAACGAAGAGAAGCGCGAACTGTCCGATAGCGTTGCCCGTTTGGAGGCCCAGGTGGAGGGAGCCCGAAAACAACGTCAAAAGGATCTTCACCTTGCTGGTAAATATGAGAGAGGGGTGCGGGTGCAGGCACCGAGAGGTTTTGTTTCTCGTCTGCCAGCTGGGTATGGTCACAGGTGTCTAAAGCTTGTTTCTCTCGAAGCCAAAAAGGATGAGCGGATATGGGATCTAGAGCTTCAGGCCCAGCATCTTCGGGACGCCGCCAGCAAAGCGGAGACAGAAGCAGCACGGGTGGTCAACAGCTTGCGCCAGATGGATTCGGCGTATGGCGAGAGTGTTGACGCCATAGCCGCCATGAAAAACGCGGACTCGCAAAATCTTGATTCTTTCGACGCAATGCGTGCGCGCCTCGACGGAGAGGCCCGCCGCTCCCGGGATCTGATAGCGGCGCTGGAAAGCGCAAATTCCGTCTTGACGCAAAAGTGCGCAGATCTACGGCGGGAAGCTGATGCGTTACGCGCTCGACGTAATTCTGCCGCGCCGCTTGCGGAATCCAACCAGCCGGCCGAAGTCACCATAAGAGATCCTGATCGCGCGTCGTCACCAGTGCCATCGTCGCAACCACGAAGTCCGGAACGCTCTCCCACCAAACACACACTGTTTGTCGAATCACTGTCATCTTCGCTTTCGCACGCTCACGCCCAGATCTCCGAGTTAGAAGAATCCCTGCGAGAATCCCATCTGGAGCGTCAAGAGTTACTCAAACTGCTCAACGAC